ACGCCTTCCTGTCGAACTCTCTGCGTAAGCAGAGGAACCATTGGTCGTCCGGGGAGGTAGATAGGCCTGAACCCGTTTAATCGAAAAGATTTTTTTTTGGCCGAGGAGGAGGAAACCCACATGTTTGTGCCATATTCTTTTCCGTGGGTGAAAAGATAAATACCGAATGGCATCTCGCGGTCTTTGAAAACGGTCAAACCTGCGTAAGAGAGAGAACCGGACGAGGCTTTGCCGAAGGGCAAGGTTTCGTCCGTCTGGACAGGCCCCAACCCGTCTAGGCTTCAAAGGTATATTTTTTGGCCGAGTTTACGGGCTCGGGGAAAACATAAAAAACGGCCTTGTGATATTCTTTTCAGTGGGTGAAAAGATAAATACCGAATGGCATCTCGCGGTCTTTGACTGGGACGCCTTAACTCTCGCGTAAGAGAGGAACCTGACGAAAGCTTTGACAAGACCCAAGGTTTCGTCCGGGAGGTAGATGGGCCTGAACCCGTCTAATCGGCTTCAAAGGCTATTTTTTTGGCCGACCCCGGGATCGAACCCAAAAAAACCGGCCAGCCCCATATTCTTTTCCAGTGGGAGAAAAGATAAATACCGAATGGCATCTCGACAGAGAGCCTTGTCTAACTCTCTGCGTTGCGAGCAAACCGACGAGGCTTTGCCGAAGGGCAAAGTTTCGTCCGGGGAGGTGGACCTGAACCCGTCTAATCGGCTTCAAAGCCTGAGTTTTGGCCGAGCGGGCTCGGGGGAAACCCCCAATAAAAACGGCCTTCCATATTCTTTTCCAAGGGTGAAAAGATAAAACCGAATGGCATCCCATCTTTGACTGCGGACGCCTCCTGTCGAACTCTCTGAAGAAGATTACCCGACGAGGCTTTGCCGAAGGGCAAAGTTTCGTCCGGGAGGTAGACAGGGCCTGAAACCCGTTTAATCGGCTTCAAAAAAGAAGACGGGCTGAAAACATAAAAAAACGGCCTTTGTGCCATATTCTTTTCAACCAAAGATAAATACCGAATGGCATCTCGCGGTCTTTGAAGGACGCCTCCTGTCGAACTCCCTGCGTAAGAGAGAGAAACCTGGACGAGGCTTCCGAAGGGCAAGGTTTCGTCCGGGAGGTGGATAGGCCTGAACCCGTCTAATCGGCTTCAAAAGGCTATTTTTTGGCCCCTACGGGCTCGGGGAAACCCACATAAAAACCGGCCACACCATATTCTTTCCGTGGGTGAAAAGATAAATACCGAATGGCATCTCGCGGTCTTTGACTGCGGACGCCTTAAGTTGCAGAGAGGAACCCGGACGAGGCTTTGCCGAAGGGCAAGGTTTCGTCCGGGGAGGTCCACAGGCCTGAACCCGTCTAATCGGCTTCAAAATTTTTTTTTTTAACGAGCCTACGGGCTCGGGGAAACCCACATAAAAAACGGCCTTGGTGCCATATTCTTTCAGTGGGTGAAAAGATAAATTTTTTCGAATGGCATCTCGCGGTCTTTGACTGCGGACGCCTCCCTGTTCAACTTCTGCTTTAGCAGAGAGAACACGGACGAAGCTTTGCTGAAGGGCAAGGTTTCGTCCGGGAGGTAGACGGGCCCCAACCCGTCCCGGCTTCAAAAGGCTGGTCCGAGCCTACGGGCTCGGGAAACCCACATAAAAACAACCTTGTGCCATATTCTTTCCGACCGGAAAAGATAAATACCGAATGGCATCTCGCGGTAACCAGGTAACTCTTGGAAACCCGACGAAGGCCGAAGGGCAAGGCCGGGAGGTGATCCTCCCGTTTAATCGGCTTCAAAAGGGGTTGGCCGAGCCTACGGGCTCGGGGAAACCCACATAAAAACCGGCTTTGTGAACCTTTCCGTGGGGAAAAGATAAATACCGAATGGCATCTCGCGGTCTTTGACTGCGGACGCCTCCTGTCGAACCAAAGGATTCGACGAGGCCTGAAGGGCAAGTTTCGTCCGGGAGGTCCTAACCCGTCTAATCGGCAAAAGTATATTTTTATATATATATATAAAACCGGCCTTGTGCCATATATATTTCCGTGGTAAAAGATAAATACCGAATGGCATCTATTGTCTTTGACTGCGGACGATTACCTGTCGAAAATCTGCGTTACCACGTTTCTACGAGGCTTTGCCGAAGGGCAAGGTTTCGTCCGGGGAGGTGGATGAACCCGTCTAATCGGACAGAAACAATATGGCCGAAAATCTGAATGGGGAAAACCCACACTAAAATCGGAACCATATTTTTCGTGGGTGAAAAGATAAATATCGAATGGCGACTCGCTGTCTTTGAAAGATTATTAACCTGTTAAAAGGAACCCGGACGAAGCCCGAAAACATTATTTTAGGAGGTAGATGGGCCTGAACCCGTTTAATCGGCTTCAAAAGACAGAGCCTACGGGCTCGGGGAAACCCACATAAAAACCGGCCTTGTGCCATTCTTTCCGTGGGTGAAAAAGATAAATACCGAATTTATGAAAAACCTACGAAGAACATAGAAGGCCCGTTTAATCGGCTTCAAAAGGTTTTTTTTGCACATCAAAAACACTTTGTCCGGCCGGCCATATTCTTTCCGTGGGAAAAAAGATAAACCGAATGGCACAGATAGACGCCTAATATATAACCCCATTAGATCGAACCCCGACCCATATTTCTTTCGTCCGGGGAGGTAGATAGAACCCGTTATAATCGGCTCTGCAAAAGGTAGTTGAATATACGGGCTCGAAGAAACCCAATAAAAAACCGGCCTTGGACATCACCCGTGGGTGAAAAGATAAATACCGAATGGCGACTTCGGTCTTTGACCCGGACGCCCCTCATCCACACGTTAGCAGAGACCCGGACGAAGCATTTCGTCCGGGGAGGTAGATAGGGCCTGAACCCGTTTAATCGGCTGATGAGGGGCTCCAACATTCAACCGGGCCTTGTGCCACATTCTTTTCCGTGGGTGAAAAATAAATACCGAATGGCGACACATACACACACTAACTCTCTGCGTTAAAACTAAACGATAACGTCCGGGAGGTAGACAGGCCTGAACCCGTTAATCGGCTTCATTCTTTGTAATGGAGCCTCGGGGCTCGGGGAAACATAAAAAATAAGCCTTGGAGTTCTTTCCGTGGGTGAGTCTGGCAGAATGGCGACTCGCGGTCTTTGACTGCGGACGCCTCCTGTCGAACTCTCTGCGTTAGCAGAGAGGAACCCGGACGAGGCTTTGCCGAAGGGCAAGGTTTCGTCCGGGAGGTAGATAGGGCCTGAACCCGTCTAATCGGCTTCAAAGGCTATTTTTTTGGCCGAGCCTACGGGCTCGGGGAAACCCACATAAAACCGGCCTTTGTGCCATATTCTTTCCGTGGGTGAAAAGATAAATACCGAATGGCATCTCGCGGTCTTTGACTGCGCACGCCTCCTGTCGAACTCTATGCGTTAGCAGAGAGGAACCTGACGAGGCTTTGCCGAAGGGCAAAGTTTCGTCCGGGAGGTAGATAGGGCCTGAAACCGTTTAATCGGCTTCAAAGGCTATTTTTTGGCCGAGCCTACGGGTTTGGGGAAACCCACAATAAAACCGGCCTTGTGCCATATTCGTTTCTCGTGGGTGAAATGATAAATACCGAATGGCGTCTCGCGGTCTTTGACTGCGCACGCCTTCCTGTCGAACTCTCTGCGTTAGCAGAGGAACCCGGACGAAGCTTTGCCGATGGGCAAGGTTTCGTCCGGGAGGTAGACGGGCCTGAACCCGTCTAGGCGGGTTCAAAGGCTATTTTTTTTTGGCCGGGCCTACGGGCTCGGAGAACCCACATTAAAACCGGCCTTGTGCCATATTCGTTTCCCGTGGGTGAAATGATAAATACCGAATGGTGTTGAGCGGTCTTTGACTGCGCACGCCTTTTCGTCGAACTCTCTGCATTAGCAGAGAAACCCGGACGAAGCTTTGCCGAAGGGCAAGGTTTCGTCCGGGAGGTAGATAGGGCCTGAACCCGTCTAGGCGGGTTCAAAGGCTATATTTTTGGCCGAGCCTACGGGTTTGGGAAACCCACATTAAAACCGGCCTTGTGCCATATTCGGTCCCCGTGGGTGGAACGATAAATACTGAATGGCGTCAGTCGAGATTCGGACATTTGAAGTACCAACCATCACAACTAGATTGCTGCGCCATTGACTCTTATTTTCCAAGTTCCTAACGTTTTGTAGAGGGACCTAATTTAGACGACTTATTAGAAATACAAGCCTCCACTGTGAAAATTGCAACAACAAGACACATACATCCCCTTCCCAGCAAACCAATATAACTGGAAATGGCTAGGGTAAATCTGAGACCTGATTCACAAAAGTCTAATCGGCTAATTTAAAAAAGGCCTTTGACCAATACAATGATTGACCATAAACTAGGGATTAAAAGAAAAACAAATGAAAACTACAGGCAAAACTCAGCTTCTTCAGAGATGGTGAAATGACCTCTGAAGTTTACTGAATGGCCTGTGATGGTCATGCTTTGAAACTAGTCGAGGAACCAAATTTGTAAAACGAAAATATTATTATACAACCCAGTGTGTCTGAAATTTTAATTTTTAACATTTTTCATTGTTCAAGATATCTCAGCATTTGTTGATTTGTCAGGAAGGAGACTTCCTGATATTATCGGTCTAGAGGAGGGGGGACGATCCTAGTGTGCGGCACCTTTGGATAGTACCTGAAAGGCATACCACGGGTTGACCCATGCCTTGTAAGTGAAATTGAATAGACGGAACACTTCGGGGCCGTCGAGAGCTGTGCTATCACGCACGAAGTTAAGTGTGCTGGCGTTGTTCAGATTGTTGGCCATGCTAGATAACACGCTCTCTCCCAGAAACTGTAACTAAGGTCTGCTTAGTATAATTGCAGTATAAACCACATGTTGGCTCTGTATATGTTGAACAAAGACCGTGAGTCTGGAATAGGGTTTGACTAGCCAGCCCTGGTAGACGGGTATCCTCGAAAACGAGTGACCAGTTATGCTATACAGGCTTACGGCCATATCATGTCGAGACGCCATTTTTCATCCGATCAACGAAGTAAAGTAACGTTGGTCTTGGTCAGTACCTAGATGTGTAACCACTTGAGAATACCAGGTGTTCTAAGCTTGGGGGTGCGGTTAGTGTAATGGATAACGACTCAGTTGGATCTGTTATATTTACTTGTCGCAAATAGCATTGGGATAGGTATGAATCCACCTCTTCTACCCCCAGCTATGTTTTAATTAGTAGCGCTTGTAACAATAATGTCATTATTACCTCTCCACAAAATTCTATGTAGCACAGCTTACAACACTGGAAAAATGCAATAAAGCCTTGTAAGTTGACTGTAACGAAACGTACATATAGTAAAAAGTCGCAAGTCATCATGATTTACCTTGTTTAGAAGAAAAACTATTCTGCCAGATTACTTTCCCTCTCTCTCTCTCTCTCACACACACACACACACACATACACAAACGCACGCACACACACACACAAACTGCATCCAAATGTGTGTGAACGTGTGCGTGCAAAAATTCAGATATAAATACAAATATATCTGTAAAAAGACAATATGTATAATAACAAAAGGAAAACCCTTCTTGACCAGCGTGTTTTAAAATTTCAAAACAAATAATTCAACCATCTTCCATTATTTGAAATAAACAAATACATAAGGAAATTATCAAATTAAATATAATAACAACAACAATCCCATTATAAATTTTAATAAATCAACAATAATAATATTTACTGTCTTTAATTTATTTTATTTTATTAAGCATTTAATTTCATAACTTAGCATCCGCCATAGATTAGCATGATTTTCAAATTTATAAACGCTCATAAATATTGTTCAGACAATCTGTGAAAGATCGTCTGAGGAATATTTATGAGCATTCATAAATTGAAAAATGTTGAAAACTAAGGCTATTTTTGTTTCTGTTTATAAATATTTGTTGTAAAATAAAACTCTTACATTTGCCATCATAAAGTCCATCATAAGACGAAACTAGTCGATAACGATTTTTTATCTTTTGAAGCACTATTTAAATAAAAACTAAATTGATAAAATATATAATAAATAAATATACACATAGATATGTATGTGTGTATGTGTGTTTGTATATATATATATATATATATATATATATATATATATATATATAAATATACATACAAATATAGATAACTATACTGATTTGAAAAACCCTCGAATTTTTGATTTGCCAATAATCAAATCAATCTCGAGGGAAAAAAAGGTTTTAAAAAAAAAAGAGCTACAAACATGGAAGTCTGTCGAAAAAATCGCACAAATACAGGTTTAAAGCCCAAAGAAAAAAACCCCGATAATAGTAAACAACTAACAAAAGACCGTAGAGAGACCTAGATATATATATATATATATATAGATATATATATATATATATATATATATATATATATATATATAGATAGATATATAGATATATAGATATATATACATAGATATAAATAAATATATATATTCCATAATTAATATGTATATATATATAGATATAAATAATATATAGAGATATAGATAAAATATATATATATATATAGATATAGATATTATATATATTAATATAGATAATCATTTATATATATATAGATAAAATAGATAGATAGATAGATAGATAAAAAGACAAACTTGATCTTCCATAATTGTCTAAAATTTCAAATAACAGAAAAAAAAGAGAAAGCCTAATGTTCCATAATTAATACAAATAATTTATATAACATCAAGTCACATTCAAAAGACAAACTGCTAAGAATGAAATAGAAAATGATGCCATGTAAACAAATATTTACTTTACCATTTAAACATTAATTATATATGTGTTTATATATACGTATATGTGCATATATATATATATATATATATATATATATACGTATATGTGCATATATATATATATAGAGAGAGAGAGAGTCAGAGAGAGAGAAAGAGAGAGATTCATATGTGTGTGTATGCGCGCGTATATGTATGTACATCTATTTATTTTATATATAGAAAAAACATAGAAAAAAACGTCTGAAACCGAACCTTACGTAATAGTTTAACATTTAAAATACCACCAAGCCCCCCACCCCACAAAAAAAACAACCTCCACAACAAAAAAACTATTAAGTGAGAAAAATAAAATAATGGGTAAATGTAAACTTAAAAAATACATTTATTTTACCTATTAAGCATTAATTAATATATTAATATATATGCATGCTGTGTGTGTGCTTTTGTCTACGTGCGTGAATATATATATATATATATATATATATACATACATATATATATATATATATATATATATATATATATATATATATATATATATGTATATGTGTGTGTGTGCGCGAGCGCGCGCCCGTGTGTGTGTGTGTGAGTGAGTGTATGAATTCACTTGTTCAAACAGCAATAAATAATATTTAATTACAACGCTAACCTCCCATAATTAATACACTTATACTTAAAATACCACAAAATTAAATAAGAAAAATATAACAATGCGTAAGTGAAGACATATATAAATATTTGGCATGCCATTTAAGTCTTAAATTAAAAACATATTTAAATAAAAAATGAATGCACCTACATTTACAAAACTTAAGAAAAAAAAACAGAACATTCGAGATAAAATGATAAGCCAAACTTTCTATGACATTGTAGATATAATCGCTACATTTATCTCTGATACGTTGAATCGATAGAGAGGAAAATATTATAAAAGCCAATAGGGAGAAAATATAAGGAGACAATAAAAACGATGAAAGGGGAAATAACCAATAAATTTTACACACAAATACATAGACACAAACACATAGACACAAACAGAAACACATTCATGCAACTATATTCATACACAGATGCAAGAAGACAAATTCACACGTATACACAAGGATATACACACAATTAAAAAACATGATCAATCTTACATTAATAAAAAGTAATAAATTATTTTTAACTTAATATAAAAGAACGAAAATTAGAAAATAAGTAGTCAGTTGATGATACCTCCCGGGGAGTCGACGGGGTGATTAATAAAAGTTCCGTCTGGCGGGGTACTGAATATAACAACAATTAACTATATGACAAATTTCATTTTGTATTAATCCTCTCTCTCTCTCTCTCTCTCTCTCTCTCTCTCTCTCTTCTCTCCATATATATATATATATATATATATATATATATATATATATATATATATTATATATATATATATATAAAAGAAAAACTGAGGAAAATATTTTTTATTTATTTTGTTTTTATTGAAATTAAGTTGGAATAAACGTTAAGATATATATATATATATATATATATATATATATATATATATATATATATACCTTTACCCTGACGATCCGTTTAGGTGAACCTAGGTAGGTTTGCCTGGCTCTTTAGGTTTATATTAGGTATGCTCTACTTCGTGGATTAAGCACTGTACATAGTTGCTTTTACGTGTTTTAGAGGGTTTTTTTCTTCTTTGGACTCTGAGCTTGAACTCTGGGCGATTGTTTTCGCCTCAATTTCATGTTCTTAGTTCTTTCTTTTTTTATTCCTCATTTTTCCTTGGGTACTCGTTTGTTCTACTACAAGCCGAAATACCTAAGCGAGTACCGCCATATATATATATATATATATATATATATATATATATATATATATATCGTCGACTCTCCCGTCGACTTCGACGTATGAGAGACAAGCAGATCAGTTTCCAGGAAACCGACAGCCCGACAACGACACATGAGATTTGATTATAGTGGTGAAGGTTTTGTGCAGAACTATCCACACTTTTTGGAAGGACGAATACAGAGACCTGGTGCACTAAGTGGCACAAGGTTACCAAATGATCCTCCGCAGGTTTTGAATTCAGAGTTGTCCTTCTCCTAGACCAGCTTCCATCCAAGGCTATAGAACCCAGTCTGTTCTATATATATATATATATATATATATATATATAAAGAAGTCACCAAACCCAAAATATGTCTACTATATAGACGATAGTTTTCTTTTTAGCGAAAGACAAAAAAGAAACTGAAAATCTTAAAACCATATTCAAAAAAATCTCTGTCCTTATTTTTACTTATGAACTGAGTTAAAAAATAAACACCAATTTTTGGGTTGTCTGGTACTATTCAGTAAGAACATGTTCACACTTCATTATATAAAAAAAACACTATCAGAAACACGTGCCACCTTAATTTTAAGAGCAAATGCCCACTTAATTATAAATTAGCAGTTATAGAAAATTTCCTAACGAGAACACACGAGAATTCATCCTCTGGTTAACTTTTCCTTAAAGAACTTAATAAAGTAAAACAGGCCTTAGTTAACTATGGTTTAAATAATAACCACAGTTGACCTGTACAAGAAAATGAAATTATCTGTTACAAAAAATATAAAACAGTTAACTTTATCACTAAAAACAGCGACACACCTGCAAAATCGGTGAGTTTGAATTTAGCGTAGGTCACATTTGATTGTTTAATCACGGCAGATCACAAGCCTATTATAAAAAAAAAAAGGATTCTGCTATTGAAATTAATCTTTCGCTCGCCAGTGGTTTGACATCGCCCGAAGAGACATATTTGTGGCGTTGAAACTGGACTGTAATCATATAGCGATTCTAACATGTTTTTATTTTAATATCCGAAAGTAATGTATATTTGATAGGAAAACGAACAAGTAGGAAACAGATCTTAGTGTTTCACTTTATTAAAGTTTCGTCAGAGATCAAGATAGAAATGTTAAAAAAATGATTAAATGCAAAGAGGCACAGATTAATTGTAGTTTGTGTTTGGCTATTTCATTGCTTAGATACTTGTCACGCGTATTGAAGTAACAGATAGTATTTAAATATATGTGGCATGTTAGCAGATTAAGATCTGTTTCCTACTTGTTCAATCTCCTATCATTTTGTCAGATTCCTATCTATACTTGATCTCTCTCTCTCTCTCTCTCTCTCTCTCTATCTATCTATATATATATATATATATATATATATATATATATATATATTGAATTGAGCTCCCTGGCCTCTGACGTATTTCGTATAGAAAACGTTAAAATTTCCCTTTTTCTCTGGTGTGCGATGAT